CCCCCCCCAAAAAAAAAACATGTAGAAGAGAAAAATGATGACCAAATTAAACTTTCAAAAAGGCTGAGTTACTGTTCTCATGATTATTAGTAAATGAAACATTGTAGCTCTGCTTTGGACTCTCTAGACCTGAGGCAGCATGTATAAACACACACTAAAAATCTTAATACGCTGAGGACTTAAGTCTGACTGCAGTAAAAACATCTAAGATTATGTCTACAAAAAAGCCCTTCCTCAAGAAGTCAATCAACCCGTATGAGGCTTTCAAGGGGACTTGGAGATCAGGGCTACTTAACATGAATCATACATTCATGTCATTACTCATATATCATATACAGTATATAAGCATACAGCTACATACACTATATGGACAAACCTATTGGGCCACACCACTCTGAATTCAAATGTTTTCAGTCACATATGCACGGGTGTATACAAATCAAGCACCTAGCCAAGCAGCCTGCCTTTACAAACAGTTGTGAGAGAATGGCCTGTTCTAAAGAGCTCAATGAATTTGAGTGTGATTAACAGGATGATACCTTTGTAACACATTCGTTTGTGAAATATCTAGGCACGAAGAAATTTCACAATCAACTCTAAGAGCTATTATTAAAAGATGTAAGCCTTTAGGAACCACAGCAACTGATTGACAAAGTGACAGAGCATGTAATGTTGCACAGCAGGGTCGCCAAGTGCTGAGGCTTAGTTACTAACACTCTGCTGACTCAGTAAGTTCAACATCAGCACAAAAAATGTGCATTGGGAGCTTCTTGACATGGGTTGCCATGACTGAGCAGCTCGAGCAGTTGTAAGTGTAGGTGGTAGAGGGTGTGATATAGCTCATGATACAAGAAAATTTGTGTAATACTTTAAAAATACTTTCTATCTGGAATGTTGTATCTTGCAGCTTTTTAACCAGCTACTTAAAGTCCTGCTTTTCAAACATATAACCGCATCAGTAATGACTATCCATGGTTTGCTCTTACTATCATAGAAAGTGTACAAGCCAGTGCTCAGTGGAGTCATTTGTTTACATTTAGGTCACACGTCACCACCTGCTAGCATCTCCTCCTTCATAGCCTGGTTGCACTTAACACTGTTTCTGCCTCACGTGGTGAAACACATTTGTCATTTCCAGCTTTTGTGGTAACACTGTTCTTACATATTTTACAAAGTACTGTGCTTTGTTAGAGACAGTTTAAGTAGCTCCTTTTTAGGTACTAACCCGTTGTCAGAGACTGACACATGGTTCTCAGACAAGACCACAGTAGGGAATGTAAACGCATAGCATTACTATATTAATGATATCACCATATGACATATTTATCTCATGTAAAAATTTGTACAGGTATTTTTGTGATATCATACACAGCTCTTGTACGTCTTATTTCCTTTGACAAGTTTTACATGCTGCCTGTTTAACACTGAGTAACTGCTTTTGCCTGATTTTAAACCGTTTGAGCAGTCACACAGAAAAGCTTAACACTCTGAAGTGCTTATGATGGAAAAACTGAAAGTGTGCTCAGTGAATTCACTGAAAACTGTATCGGTGGGGCCGGTGGATAGTAACACTGAGTGTATCTGAGTGGGGTATGAAAAAACCTTTAACACCACAGGAAGTGAACTAAAATTACTGAATTCTCAAGAGGCTGTTATGTGGGAAACACAGGACTAGGCACCAACAAAAACAACTTCCTTTTTTGACCTCTCTGAGCACAGGCAGGGTCAATGTGTCCATTTTGAGATTACTAAAATATGAAGCCACTGGTTTATACAAGGACCCTTCTGTCAAAGGGTGCCTTTAAATACAATTTTCCAAGGAAAAACCATTGACTCTGCGAGTAAAATGTGTTACAATTTCTCCAAATTGTGGACTGGCAGGCAACAACCATGATTTAGCGTGCTTTAGTGTTGTGCAGACTCATATAACATAAACCTAACCTTTGTATACTTTCAGTATGAGTTACTTTGTATTAACTGAGGTAGCCGTTGGCTAATCCCAAAAGCTTCTCTACTTCTGATATGCATCTTGTGTTTACTAACAAGCCTGCAAAGACAGCATAATCTGGTGCGTGAGGCAGTTTACATTAGGAACAGTTATCTGCTCTAGTCATCTGCCCAACACAAGCTCTACAGGCGCAGTAAGGATACGTGAGATGCAGGAACAAAGTTCCAGCTTGCACGTCTCTGCACAACGGCGCATGAGAGCTCAATATTTCCTTCAAGTCATGACTGAAATATCCGAATTTTACCTCTTGCAATTCAAAATATGTGTCATTAAGTAGAAGACTTGTTGTCAGTGATACTAACAATGAAAACACATTGAGCAGAAAGGTTAATTAACTTACCCTCGACACACGCAAGTCTATGTGTTTTGGTAGCTTTTAGAGAATATGTACCTCCGATTTATTCTGCCCAGTTCACTAATAATGGCATGTCCTACCTCGAGCATGAGGCGAATTGACGCGATGTACCAGAGTACTTAAACGCTTCACTTCACTGAGCCGAGTGGGAGTACAAACTCACAGCAGGGAGGCAAACGATTTAAATTCTGTTCTGACAGTCATCTCGACTACCTATTGCGGACAGACTCCACAGACATTTAACTTACCTGCATCCCCGGCAGGTTACCCTGAACGGGAGAATGGGCCATGGTGATGCTGACTGGTTCTGTAGTGCAGGGCTGAGGTCTGATCGGTTTCACTTGTGTTTACAGTCCCGGCTGTGGTGCCGTTAATGCCCCACAGCGCTCCTGCAGCACACCTAGCTACCCAGATCTGCTCAGAATACCCCCGGTTACTCTCAAACAGGACAATAAAATGTCCTTCCTGTACACGAACTAATGCACCTTTTCTGTATCCGAACAACCTAAGACACCCAAAACAGCTGAGCACGCTAACCAACGTTTGCTAACGCTAACTCTGAAGAAATCCGCAATGTTAGCTTACTAACCAGAAGGCTAAGTGTTAACTAGTGTGTTAAATTAAATTTCTCACTCGTAGAAGTAATACCGTTGGCGAAAAAATGATATCTGTAATAAAGTAGCAGCGACGACTGTGTATTTCAAATTTAACCTGATGTCACTTTCTCAAAGCATATTCTCTAGCTAACGGTGTCGTCAGCTAGCTAACATGATTAGCGGGTTAGCTCCCTGGCCAACGCAGACGACCTGCCAAACGTTCCGTCAGCTTGGACTACAATTCGTCTGCATACGGCAAATGTCACCCACAGAACAGAAACTCTAAGCAACCCAGCTTATATCTTTGCACTAACTCGTCACCCGCTGCTCTACAGGTCTGGCATCCACAGCAAGGATAGTGTCACCAGTGTTTTTGTTTCGTCCCTCATTTTCGTCCTGTACTCTCGGCCATCTTGTCGGTGCCGTGACGCCTGACTGGGCGGATCCGGATCCGAATCAGTAGCAGCATCTTTACTTCTCTCCCACCTAGCAGGTGTTGATGGCAGCTGGATTGATCCTGGGCCTCCAGACTTTATTTGTCTTTTCTTTTTTGAATGACTGAGTGCGAGTTTAATACTAATAAAAAGGATCCATATTTAAACCACAGAATCTCATCTAAGAAGTTCTGTTTGGCCTGTTCTGGTAACACCGCTTTACGGCAAAGAACAAAAACTGTCAATAATTCATAAACGTAGCGTTTTTAAAAAAGACCAAATAGCAGTAGCTTGTCTTAAAATGCCTTAAAGTGCAAACATATTACTTATTTTAATGTTCCCATTAAGGCGTTACGTCAAAATTCAGACATGTTAAGTCCTAATAAGTTTTTTCGGCATTGAATGCATAATCTGTGTAATGACAAATATACTCACTATTCACTATTACTATTTATTCATCACGCGATCATATGTTAAGATAACGGTAAGATAAAAGTAATATGCCCCTTATTTGGAAGGATCACTGAATACGAGAAAAAAATGAATATGTCGTCTTTTCAAGTACAAGTCTTGGAACAATCTTTCATTGTTTTTTTCTTCTTAAATTATTATTTTCATTTAATCATTTATTATAAACAAAACCAGCTTGGTAGACCTGACCTTTTATATGAAACTCAAAGTTTTCCATATTAATACATTTTATTTAAAACCGCCTTTCAAGACACCCAAGGACGCTTAATAGAATTAAAAACATAGTAGAAGATAAAATAAACAAACAATAAGTTTACAGTGAATATGCAGACTTGAACAGAACCGCTGTTTATTATATCTGGGGGAAGAGAGTTTCACATATTCCATATTCAACCTATATCAGCCTATAGAATTTATTTCATTTTCTGCCATATTTATGCACGATCAAACCCCATCATAGCCTAAAGAACTCATAATATCCCAAATAATAGATTTCGGTCTCAGACTGCAGGCTTGCTTACTTGTAGTTCAAAGAGTTGCAAAAGTTAAAATAAAAAGGCAGGGGCAATTTCCCCCCTGCTTCAAGCAAAAGTTTGACAAGGAATTCAAGAGTTGATGTGTTTGACCTTAGAAAGCACTTCACTGTAGCCTGATCATCATTAAATGCCACCATCAACTTAAATATTGATTACTTAGGTACTTAAGTACTGACGTTCATGCTATTGTCTTGTGTTACTCTTAAGTGAGATTAAACAGTTGCATTATGAATATAGGCTAAATCCAATTGCAACGGTTTTCTATGGCCACCAGAGGAGGGCACCCTGGTATAAACTTCACTGCAGCGGCATCCTGGTCAAACGTGAACTCCGGCACAGGCACAGCATGGCGTGCTGCAGCTAGAAATAATGATGGAATGACCGGAGCATTTCTGTAGCCGGTGTGTAAGATGTTCTGGATAGTGGTAATGCGCATTTGACGTAATATTATGCGTTATATGTTTATATCTGAAATGAGAAGAAAATAATGACAATGACTGCGGCTGTTTTAGTGTGGAGGGGGCCTGTGTATGGCGCAGTGGTTGAGAAAATCCACATGGGTAACACCAAACAAGCAGACATTGCTCCATTGCTGTATTGATTGCTGTCGCGGTTAAACTAGATATTAATAACGCACGCAGTACAGTACAGTATTTAAACGGCACCCTACTGAAATACATTGAATGTTTTTTTCACAGATCCAATTGAAACAATAGACTGTTTGGCCGAACATAGTTATGCGTGTCTTAACGACTACAAATGACTATAAATATGTATTCACAAATGAATCCCTGTATGCTCACTCGCCTGTGTGCTCATCACCGCCGCGTCCCGGGGTGAGCGCGTGTAATGGGAAGCACTACCTCCCTCCTTCGTGCGTAAATTATGTAGGGCAGGACGGCAATGCTTTGCTACCTCCATTTGAACAATACGGTGAATACGAGGGAGAAAAGAGACATCAAATCAGCTACAACAAAAAGCCATCCTCGTTTTCGAGACGCATTTGACAGAGGCGGAGTAGCGCATCACGACTTGCCTGTTGTGAAGCCAAGGAGAAGAAAAGATGGACATCACGGATCAAGGAGCTCAAATGGAGCCGCTCTTGCCAACGGTAAGGCTAAATATTCACGTACTTGCAGTATTTGTGTTCAGTTCTTTAAAATTTAACTGATAATCTTGTTGAAATCATAATGGACTGTTGGTGCTCAGTGTTTACCCCCTTGGAATAAGACAGGCGCAAGCACGCGATAAATGAATGATTCATTTTCATTATAATCGTGCTTCAAAATGACCAATATTCGGACGCTTTGCCGGCTATATGACGCATGACTATATCACGACTAACATGGATGTTGCGCATCATATATAGGGGATGCAGTTCCCTTGTGCACTGCATGTATATCCGAGTAGAAGATGTTCATATCCTTAATATCCAAACGCCTTCACACAGGAGGCATTTGTGATGAGGCTAGTTATATTTCATGGGTTCTTTGCTGCTTGTGTAGAAATCATATGGGCTGGCTACCCCCTCGACCCAGTTTTCTTATCTATATGAAAATCTACTGCCAAGCTGTTGCTTTAAGTACACATCATCTCAAGATGATACAGTGAGATGAGCATAAAGTGTTTGATCCTAGCAGTGAGGAGACAGAGACAGGAGAGACTGGATTTTTATGACTTGAAAATATCATATTCGGCAAATTGACTGTATCATGCAGGAATTTATGTGCAGTAATCATATTCTATCTCATGTGTAGGTGTTACAGTCAATACAGTTATAGACAGAGAGATGCAGCACAAATACAAAAAATTGACTGAGGAATACACGCATCTGTAGTATAGCAAATTAACAAACCCAATGGCAGAGTTACACACAAACAAACACATGCAACACACTGAGACACTTGAAGGCACAGCCTGCTTCTGCGGTCAGCCTTTCCTCATTAGCATTCAGGTGAGACTGTGTGGAGAAAAAAAATGTCAGCTGCCTTGGAAGCACTGTCAGTGCCAGAGGAGATATGAAATATGCTGCTTTGTGCTCACCATTTTAAAAAAAGCACCAAATAGAGGCAAATCAATACTCTCATTGTTTGTTCTATTTGTGGCTGTGTTACATGAGGACTTAGTTTTCCGCAGCTTATGGTGTACAGTGAAGCCTGATGGGGCTGATGTGGTATGGGATGGGATGTTCCGTTTCCCCGCAGTGCCATTGCAGTGTAGTCGTTTCCCTGTCATTGTAGTTCATTGCTGTTTCCCCATCCCTCCTCCTACATAGCTCACAGCAAGTGTTGTCATGGTTTCACCAGGATGTGTATGAGTATGTGAGGTGTTAATATAGTGAGAATCTCAGGGACTTCTCAGCAAACGACGTGGCTATAAAAAAACAGTATAATTGTGTACCGTTCTAGTGTGTTACCAGGTTTCCAGGGTCATGCATGAGAGTATGTTTAATTTACAACAGCAAGCGCTGCATTCAAATGCATTATTGGTTTTCAATGTCTGCTGGCTTTGAGTTGTTACACTCAAAGTTTACATGCTAAGGTATGTTTTTCACAGACCATTTTGGCTGACAGTAATGTTCTTGCGTGTCTTGCTTTTGTCCCATTAAGTGATTTCCTGATATATTTTTTTAATTGCAGGAACAAAGTTCCCAAGAAACTAAAGAAGTGGTGAGTAACACAGAATAATGCAAACTATATGACTTTCTTATTGTTTTGCATGGTCAGTGGACTGCTCCAACCCCTCAGTCATCAGTTGGTTTCTGATAAGAGGCAGGTACTGTAAGGTTATAGAGTCAGTCTGGTGTGGGATGGCTGTATAGCTCAGTAGGAAAAAGTAGTAGTGTTAGCAGCGAAAAAACTGCTGGGTACAATTCCAGCTTGCAGGGTATAGATTTACACAACTGTCTAATATATTGTTTTCCCCTTTGTAAGTATTTCTTGTTTGCTTTGTTTTAGTCTTAATGAAAAAATAATCACATGCAAAAATTTGGATAAAAAAGCCCCCTAGTACTAAAAAGTTATTGAATGACATCAAGCAGGTGGCCAGGTAACATGCTGGATGTCTGCATAAGTTTCACTGTTATTTTTTATTTCAGCTATCTTGAATGGATAGTGATGATCAATCAACAACAAAACGTTAGCTGGGTGTACTGATGTTGATTTTGTGTTTGGTGTATGTGTAGAGTTTGCAGTTGAAATAAACGGTAAAGAGTTTTAGAAAAAGATTTTAAACCCTATATACTATAAGCCACTGTTATGCATACATGCATACACCACTCTATTCTCTGTATTTTAAGTCCTGTATTGAGCTCACATCCACACCACAAGCAACGGTGAGAAGAAAACTAGAGAAAACCCGCACAGACTCGGGGAGATCATCCAAACTGTGTTGTTCTTGCCATGAGGTGACAGTGCAAAGTGTTGAGTAGACTTCCAACTTAAGATTGAAAATTTTAGGAAATCTAAAGCTTGACAAAAAACAAATGTTAGAGAGAGCCCACCCCAAATATTGTGTTTTTTTGTGGGGGTGGAGGGAAGCCCTCATCTGCATAAGAAACTGTAAAAAAAATAGCTCCACACCGCAAACGAATCTGTCTTACTAAGGCAGAATGAATGAATGAGTAGATATTATAAAATTGAATGCAGGCCTGCATTGCTTTACTGGTACTATTGTGCTTCTCAGAACAATAGGAAGTAATTAAAAGTAAATAATCAGATAGATTTACTGATGCCTCAGATGGTGTTCTCACATTCTTTGGTGTTAAAAAGCTGTTAATCTGCAATAATATAGCAGCTGTATTTGGTTCAGATCTTCAATTAGATTGCTTGCTAAACAGATGTTGACTATTTTTAGGTTGCAATAATCACACGTCACCTGCATTTGGCATCTACAATAGGTTAACATAAATAAATAATAACAGATAATCTATGTGAAGGCTTTCTATCTGTGAAATGCCTTTGAGAGTATGAGCCAAATAT